GATCTCTGACACACAGCCAGGTGTGGGGGCACTGCAGCCAGGAGTGCGACCCTGGTGAGCACCGCAGCCAGGCACGGACATGAGCCTGCTCATAGCAGCCGCAACAATTATGAGGGGAAAGATGGGGGGAGAAGAAATCATATCTCCCAAATTTAACACAAAATTACATCAAATGTGAACGGTACCAGTATGCGTAGTAAAAGGTAGAAATTCGCAGAATGGATTAAAAAAAAAAAAAACAAGACCTAACTATATGTTGCCTACAAAAATCTCACTTCCAATATAATGATATGAGCAGGTTAAAATTACAAGAATAACATGAAAATATGAATGCAAAGAAAACAGGAGGGCCTATGTTAATAGAATCGACCCTCAGGAAAAAATTATGAGGAGAAAAAAAGAATAAGATATTCTCTAATGATAAAGGGGCCAATCCAGCAAGGAAAACAAAACAACTCTGTGTGTATGTATCAAACAACAGAGTCGCACAATATTTGAAGTAAAAACTTAGAACTGGGTCAGAGAGAGTACAGAACTAACAGCACCTGTTTTGTACATGGACGACCCTGTTTTGATCTCTGGCACCAGTGAGTGGTACCCCAAGCACTGCTGGGAGGGATTCCTCAGCACAGAGGCAGGAGGAGACCCTGAGTGCTGCCAGGTGTGGCCCATCTTCCAGAAAATCCTGGTGAAATTTAAAGGAGAAATAGCCAGATCCACAAGTACAGTGGGGGAATTGAACAACCCTTTCTAAAAATTTCATAAAACAATCAAGACCTAAAGCTGGATAAATCAATGAATTCTGGAAAAGTCTGACAAAATGCAACAATCATTTATAATAAAGCTTAGAAAAGCAGATATATAAGTTTTTTTTTTATCCAAACAATCTATATACTTTTATTTTCCTTTTTTTTTGGTTTGCTTTTGGGCGACACTCAGCAATGCTCAGGGGTTACTCCCGGCTCTGCACTCAGACATCACCCCTGGCAGTGCTTGGGGAACCATATGGGATCCAACTCAGTTCAGCTGTATACAAGGCAATCACCCTATCGGCTGTACAATTTCTCCAGCCCCCTTTTCTTTTTTCTTACCTAGAATAAGTGAAGTCAGGAAAGTCAAAGGTCTTAAAATTAATACCAAAAAACTAGTTGCCACTCATGTGTGGAATGGAGAAGATAAAACAAAGGCAGAGGCATTATCTGTGGCAAAACCTTGGCCCTGGATTACAAAACTTATTACCAGATATTGTGGAGAGGGATGGGGAAGGGGGGGAGGAATTAGGAGGATGAAAATTGGACAGAGATGACACAAGGACACTGATAGCAGGTTATGGGTACTTCAGTGGCAGGTATGCAGTAACTTTGTACATTAATATTATAAACTGAAACATGATTGTTTCAGGGCAAGAGTGACAGAACGGTGGGCAGGGTGCTTGCCTTGCGTGTGGCAGACCTGGATTCTAACCCTGGCATCCCATTTGGTCCCGTGAGCCCACAAGGAGTGATCCTAATTGCAGAACCAGCCCTGAGCACTGCCAGGTGTAGCCCCAAAAACAAACAAACAAAAAAGGTGGGGACTGGAGGTATAGTATAGTGGGAAGGGCCTTGAAGGCCGAGGACTGGGGTTGGATCCCTGGTACTCCATATGGTCCCCCAAGTTTCCCAGGAGTTGTCTCTGAGCCCACAGCAGGAGTAAGTAAGCCCTGAGCACAGCCAGGTGTGGTCCCAAGCCAAGAAATGAAAAAACATTATTGTAGCCATATTAGCTAAACTATAATAAAACTTTTTAAATTAGTTGACATTTATATTATTAAAAACAAACTATCAAAGTGAAATGAACAATTTGATTTATAATCTCACCAAAAAGCAAGTGAAACAATAGAAAATTATAAAGCTTCCCATAGCCAAGAAAGCCACCAAGAGTGAAATGGAAATCTATTAAATGGGATAAAACCTTTTCAAATCATGTGTTTGATAATGGATTAATCTTGGAAATATATAAAGAACTGAAACAGCTCTCTTCCTCTCCCAACATGGAGACCTCAGCAAAAAAGAAGAAGAATAAGGGAAAGATTATCTCCCTAACATACTTTCTGGCCGAGGATGGAGGTACTGGTAGAGAAAGTACCTAGTACCAAACTAGTTAGATGGGCTGATGAAAGAGACGATCTGGAAGGAGACAGTTCAACTACTTGGCACAGTAATGATGAAGACATGCATAGGGAACCTTTAATTGACTGTTCCATCCTGCCCACTGCTCCCTGGGCTGCGTAGGAATCCATATCAACCAGCGCTGTCTTCCCAGATTGTCACCCTTCACCGCTTTCCTAGGGAACTTACCCTAAGATGTGACAGAAGAGTCCATCAAGGAATTCTGTGGAGGATTAACTATCAGTGTGGTGTGTTCGCCTCATGAACCCAGCAATCCAGAGAGGGTAAACGGTTTTGGTTATTAAGTTTGAAGAGACCTGGATTCCTTGCTCAGTGCCGACTCTCAATGAAGAGTCTGTAGGTAACAGGAGAATTCCAGTGGACGCTGCTGTTCAAGCACAGGCTAAAGATAGGGATGACCGTTCTTTTTGATGAGACAGAAATTGCAATTCTGACCGAACAGATACAGACTGGAGGGCCCGTCCTGCTACAGACAGCTTTGATGACTAGCCACCAAGAAGAGGCAATAACGGCGTTGGAGACAAGTACTGAAATTATTATGATTCAGGCTGATAATGGGATGGGTATCAGGATGGGTATCGGGATGGCCCGTGCCAGGATCTAGACGGGGCTGCGACTGCTATGATGACTGAGGCAGCAGAGACTGATAGAGGCGATGATTCCAGGACAGGCAGTGGCAGAAGAGCTTCTAGTCGTGGGTACTGTAGGGATGACGACTACGGAGGAGGTGGGGATGCTATGAAGACAGTGAAGGAAGACGAGATGACTGGTCACGGAGCTCCAGGGACGATTACTCTCAGGATGATTACAGGCGTGATGACAGAGGTTCCCCCAAAGACCCAAGCTGAAACTAAAGCCTCGGAATACTCCTAAGGAAGAAGATTCCTCAGCCAGCACCTCCCTGTCCAGTTGCGCAGCCTCTTTCTTCAGGGTGGGGTGGGGGTGGGGAGGAAGCTTGTTGACACAGCTGCCAGAGAATGAGAAGTAGAAGAGCGGCTACAGAAGGAACAGGAGAAACTGCAGCGGCAGTTGGTGAGCCAAGACCAGAACAACAGCCTCAGGAGCGACACCCAAGTTGGAGAAGTGAAGAAACTCAGGAACGGGAACAGTCGAGGACAGGAAGTGAGTCATCACAAACTGAAACTTCAGCCAAATCTGGCTGACGAAAGTCAGATCAGGATGCACGGAGGAGAGAGCAATCTCTAGAAAATGAAACACTCAATAAGGAGGAAGATTGCCACTCTCCGACGTTTAAACATCCCAAAACTGAATAGCCTCTAGAGGTAATGTCAACCCCTCCATCAAAGGATGATGCTTGGGTGAAGCGCAGTTCTAATCCTTCTGCTCCATCTCAGAGCTCAGACAGAGCAGCAGTTTCCTACAAGCGGTGGTGGCGGAAGTCATTCCGGATCAGGCATCTGAAGAAGGACCAGTAAGAAAACAGATGAAAGTAAAGTAGATGGTGTGAGTATTCCAAAAGGCTAAAATGGCAATTCTAGCCAGATCCAGGATACGGAGGGAACAAAGGCCACTGGAAGGAGTCAGATAGAAAAGAAGGCAAAAAGGATCAAGACTCCTGACCTGCCCCTGAGCCAAGGAAACCCGAGGAAAATCCAGCCTCCAAGTTCAGTTCTGCAAGCAAATATGCTCTCCTCTCTGTGGATGGGGAAGATGAGGATGAAGGAGATTACACTTAACAGACCTCTACGTGCTTCTCCTCTCCACCATGGAACATTTGAGAACAAATCAAACCTACTCGGCAAGACAAAATAAAACTCACCATCTCCTGGGGAAAAAAAATAACTGAAACAACTCAATAGCAACAAACACACAACCCAATCATAGAGACATTTTCCAGAAACATAACAGATGCCAGCAGGGACATGAAAAAGGGACAACATGGGACATTGTGATTTGAGGCAATGTAGATGAATCATGATGGATTGTACCAAGTGATATGTCAGCGGAAAAGAATAAATCATTACCTTACATATATTTGGAATAAAAAGAAAAGAACAAGTTCACAGATACAGAGAACGGAATGAGGGTGGCTAGAAGCAGGGTAGGGAGATGGGTAATATTGTTAAGGGGGTCTAAAAGCACAAGCTTCCAGTTATAAAATAAGTCATTAGGGATATCACATATGACACGGTGACAATGGCTAATGGTGTACTGCATATTTTAAAGTTGTTAAAAGAGGACGGTTTTTCTTCCTTTTTCGTTTGGAGGCCGTATCTGGCTGTGCTCAGGGCTTGCTCCTAGTTCTGTGCTTAGTCAACATTAAGCAGAGTGGAACAGATGGGGGTACTGGGGACCAAATACAGGTAGACACATGCAAGGCAAGAGCCTTCTTGCTGTATTATCTCTTTGGCCCCAGGGGAAAACAAATTTCTACAAATGTTAAAAATGCAATACTATAGCCAAAAAAAAAAAAAAACCAACGCTGTGGGGCAACACTTGTGACTACTTTTTTCCCCAAGCACAAACACTGTCAAACAAACACTGTCCTCCCATTGTTTATCGATTTGCTCGAGCGGGCCCAGTAACGTCTCCATTGTGAGACTTCTTGTTACTGTGTTTGGCATATTGAATACTCTTGGTAGCTTGCCAGGCTCTGCGAGAGGGGCAGAGGAATCGAATCCGGCTCAGCCGGGCTGGCTGCATGCAAGGCAAACGCCCTATCGCTGGGCTATCAGTCCTGCCCAGACTCAAGTTCCCCCAAGCCCATTCTTTGGAAATAAATGTCAATTCCTTATATAATGATACCAAATAAGAGGTCCCCTCCCCCTTCCCTAGATGATAATACAACATGGGAATTTCTTAATTTACCCGAGTTTCTCTTTCTCTTCCTTTGGGATTTGATTCTCTACTTCCAAATTTGGTACGTTAGACTCAACATCTGCACAGAGATTTTCTTTTGTAATTAAATTAGGAGTTTTAATTTTTTCCCCTAAAGAAAAATTATTTAATTGTTCATATTCTTGTGAAAGCTTCAAGATCTGTAAAGTTAAACAAAAAGACATTTTGCATATATTGAACTATAAAAAAACTGTATTTGTTCCACATAAATGTGTAAATCATTGCATTAATTAATATATTGACACCCAAATTGAAGTCTCTTTCTAATTTTAACTTAATCTTTTTCAGTTGCTATAAATTGGATCTGTTTTTATGACAGGCATAGTAGTATGCAAGACCATGTTTTCTTTGTATTTTTTAAAAGGTATTTTTTGTCTTTGACACTGACTTCTCAGAGTACTGTTTGTCTTTACAAGAAAACTTGTAAAAATTTTGTCTTACAAGCAAACAAGATGTGACCTATGGAGTTTTACATCATCATCACACATTTTCATTCTCAAGTTTTGATTGCACTTCCTTAATTCATAAGGCAAATAATAACTTATAGCTACAAGAAAACAGTAGAAAGAATATTACATTAGAAAGAACAAATTTCTTCCTCTTTAGTCTTATTAGTTTGGAAACATCTGAATAAGTAAAAGGTCCCAGACTCCCTCCATCCACTCTCCTGAAGACGAGAACCTCTCCATGGTTGATGGCTGATGGTGTCAAGGAAGGTGTGAACAGGGAAAGAGCTCACTTTCTGTATGTTAGAATGGGAAATGTGGTCCAAGGCACTGGTATGAAACGGAGCATTCAGTTTTTGGTGGAGAAGCGGGGAGGATAGTCTTTCTGGAGTAGAGGCTACAGAATGGGCAGTTGAGGGAAAAAAGCAAGATGGAGGGAGTAGCCGGATTGTGAAGACACTTGAATGGCCAAAATTTTCTTTCTTTTTGCTTTTTTTTTAAATGAAGTGAAATAGTTTTATTTATATTCAGTATGAGAGACATACGAGAATGAGAGATAATGATGTGTGGGGAAAAGGAGAGAAAGAGGGAGCCCTGGGAAGTTAAAGAAAGGAGTTACACATGCCAAGTTGCGATGTGGGTGATCCGACAACCAGAGTTTAGGCTGAGAATCACTATGCCACTCGGTTATTATTCCAGGAACTATAAATGAAGAAAGTCACCATACATAATGTTTGAATTTCAAAATTCTATGACTAATGAATTTAGATACTATAATTAAAAGGAAAAGGCCCTACCACAAGGGACTTAAGACATACACAAGATATTTGTTTCTAAGTCACTTCTTAGCAAGAATATGTTTAAGTCTGAAACATGTTATTTAAGAACAAAAGACTCAAATAGCCTCAAAGCATCTCCTCACAATATACCTGTTCCTTGATCACTTGATCACTTGACTTCCCGTTAATCGTCAATTTGCTCGAGCGGGCGCCAGTAACGTCTCCATTTGTCCCTGTCGCGTGCTAGTGTAGCCCAATGGCATCTGTTCACTCCGGGAACATGAAGGGCCTCAAACCGATCGTTCATGATCTTGACGAAGAGGTCTGACCATCTGGAAGTTGGGCGGCCACACGGTCTTTTGACATCCCGTGGAATCCAGTTGGTAACAGCTCTAGTCCAGCAGTCGTCTTTAAATCTCATTACGTGACCAGCCCATCTGATTTTTGACACCTTGGCAAATGAGACAGCGTCCCTGATTCTTGATCGTCGACGGATGTCAGAACTCCGGATTCTTCTCTCATTTGAGTGAATCGTGATATTCCAAGCATAGCTCTTTCAATTCCTCTTTGGGAGGCCTGAATGGCGTTCTCATCCTATTTTCGTAGGGCCCAGGTCTCTGAGGCATATGTTAATGCAGGAAGAACAGTGGAATCAAAGAGAAGTGCCCGGAGCCGGAGGTTCTTCGTCCTCTTAGCTATTTCTTCGATGCTCTTGAAGGCATAATTACAATATACCTGTTATTTTCTTTTTTGTGTGTGGGGGACACACCCGGAGGTGCTCAGGGCTTAGGCCTGGCTCTGCACTCAGCTGTCAGGAATCACTCCTGGTGGGTTTGGGGGATCTACCTGCGGTATCTCTTTAGCACATATACTTAATTTTCATGATTAACATATGATGTGGTCGCAACCCCAATGTACCCACTGTAAGATGAAAATCTCATACACTGAAAACAGAGCCAACACAGTATACTGTCACGTCTCAGTAGCGGTTGTTTGGGGAAGGGAATCAGATCACATGCAGAGGTACTCAGGTCTCTGTGTTCTGGCAATGTTCAGAGGACATATGTGGTGCTCAAACCACAGACGTCAGCATGCAAGCGCAGCACCCTCACCTCTGTGCTATCTTCCAGGCCCAAGGCCTTGGGTGTTTCCCCTCCTCATTGCGGCTGGCGGGGAATGCGGGGCTGTGGCCCACTGTGGTATTCCAAGAGCACAACACCACAGACGCTGGCTGGGAGCTCAGGACTCAAGATAAGGCTTCTACTGAATCTGGACCACTTTCACACCAACAGAAAGCAAACCGATTGTCGGCCAAACGATTGTTAAACTGCCTGAAACTCACATAAGTGGAATCACAAGGTATTTGTCTTACTGTGCCAGTTTATTTCACTTAACACAATCTTTAATCCTACTGAAGCCAGTTAGAGAAATACTTTCCTTTTTAGGGTTGAAAAACTACTACAGTGCATGTATTTGTCAATCCCCCCCCCCCCCCCCATACATACACACACATTGATAGGCACTTAGATTGCTTCCTCACCTTGCTGTGGTGAATAACTGTGCCAAGCACTGGTGTACAAGTATCTTCTTTAAATCCTGATTTCTATTCTTTTGGGCATATAGCCAGAAGTAGAACTGCTGGATTATAAGGTAATTCTATTTTAAGTAAGACTTTTGCTACAATGCTTAAAAAAATAAATGTCATATAATATATGTCTCCTAAAATGAAACCATTGTGTAGCTGGCTTAAAGTGAAAAAATTCAGACAAATCAATCCTAAGAGTGAAATACTGGCTAGGATCTTAATACTTATTCTGAAACACATTTTTAACAATCCACACAATATTGTAATTTATTCCAGAATAATAGAAATTTCAATTTCAAGTCAGCTTATACTGAAAATTAAATTCCATTTAAGTTAGCCTCATCAGAGGTGTCAAACATTAAACTCTTAAGTAATAATGAAAGCTCACCTTAATATCTAATTCATAATTTTCTCTTTGCAGCAATTCATATTCTATTAAAAACTTTTCTCTCTCGTCTGCCGTCCCTGGAAGACTTTGAATTTCATTATAAAGGCATATAAGTTCTGACTTTGACTTTTGCAATTCCTAATCAAGAAATGAAGATGTTTCCCATAAAAGGTGTATTTCTAAAAAAGAGTCTTTGAAATAATTCTAACAATTGAAAAATTTTAGTATTTCAAACCTAGCCTTTCAGCAGACTTCTTTCTTTAGTAATCAAGACAAATGTAATCCAGATCAATTTTAATTAAATGTAACGGTCTTAGTTTCTTTCATTCATAGCTTAAAGATCAAACTAGAGTCCGCCCTGTCTTAAATAAGGCACATATATAGATTCTTCACCATTGCCTCTTCCATTATCTCTTCAGATTTTTCTTTCTTTAAAAAGTTATGTGTTAGGTGGAGGTAATCTTGGGGTGGAGGACTGGGGTATGGGACTACTGGTACTTTGGTGGTGGTTGTGTGTGGTAACATAAAGACGTGTGAAGTTATATTCCCAAAACATACACAGCCACGTAAACTGTTATCTCAATTTTTAAAACTTAGCTTCAATCTCAAGCTGGAGCGATAGCACAGCGGGTAGGGCGTTTGCTTTGCATGCGGCCAACATGGTCGACCCGAGTTCGATTCCCCCCCTTCCCCCCCTTGGAGAACTCGGCAAGCTACCGAGAGTATCTTGCCCACACGGCAAAATATGCCAAACACAGTAACAAGATCTCACAATGGAGACGTTACTGGGCCCGCTCGAGCAAATCGATGAACAACGGGAGGAAGTGCTACAGTGCTACAGCTTCAATCTAATTAATTTATATTTTTAGATGGTTTGGCGGGGGGGTCACAAAAGTCAGTGCTCAGGAGTCACTTTCAGCTCCTGGCTTTGTTTAGGGAACCATGTGGTGCCAGGGATCAAATTTAGGTAAACCCCTTCAAGGCAAGTGCCTTAATCCCTGTGCTATCTGACTCCCTCAGCCCCCAATTAGCTTTGATAGAGTGTTGTATGGTTTGCCTTTGTTTGTTTATTTGTTTTTGTTTTTGACACACACTCAGCAATGCTCAAAGGTTATTCCTGGCTCTGTTCTCAGAGATCACTCCTGTATGGCTCAGGGGACCAGATTAGATGCTAAATATAGGACCCAGGTTGGCTGCGTGCAAGGCAAGTGCCCTACCTACTGTACTATCTCTCTGGACCCCAGCCCCTGATGTGGTTTACCTTTAATTTTGTGCCAACCTGACGAGGTAGGGTTATTGAAACTGAAGTGTGGGGAGCTTAAGTGACCTTTACATAGGAAGTAAATATGAAATTCAAATGTCTTAATCATATCAAATACTTTTTTTTGGATTTTTGGGTTACACCCGGCGATGCACAGGGGTTATTCTTGGCTCTGCACTCAGGAATTACTCCTGGCAGTGCTTGGGGGACCATATGAGATGCTACGAATTGAACCCGAGTCAACCGCGTGCAAGCAAATACTGTTTCTTAAGAATTATTTTGCTTAAAGAAGGTGTGTGTGATAACTTAATCAACAAGGTTTTTGCCTAATCCTGGTATTTTTTTCCTATTCTTGAGAGAAAATAGTTTATTTTGTTGTAGATTTTAACCAAATTTCATGATGATATGGAATTTGCAGCATCTGACGTGAAAATAAGGCCCTAAGAGTCTATCCATGGTGCCCTTGGAGGGCTATTATTACTTTAGATAGGGAGCCACTTGAGTTTTTCCCAAAGTCTTTGCACCAGAAATGCTGACAAGGAAGACATGGGGGTAAAGTGAGACAAGGTAGCTCTCCCAGACCGAAGGAGGAGAAGTGCTCCTGAGTTTCTACTTGTTTTCATGAGAAGTTCCTGTAGGCACCAGCATGTAATTTGGGACATTCCACTGACTATGACCTGCCCTGCAAACTGAAGTGTTATCATTACATAAATTGGTAATTTAGACTTCCATGAACTTATCTCCAGGTCGCTTTTTGTTTGTTTAGGGGTCACACCTCAGAGGTGTGGGGGCTACACCTGATTTGATACTCCAGGGTCATTCCCAGTGGTGCTTGGGGACCATGCAGTTCCAGTGATCAGACTTGGGACTCTCCTATAAGAAAAACATGTGTGCCAGTCTACTGAGCTATTTTTCAAGCCCTCTCTTTTCTTTTTTTTCTTTCTTTTTATTTTTTTTGGGTTTTTTTGGTGGGGGGGGGTCACACCCAGTGATACTCAGGGGTTACTCCTTGCTCTGTATTCAGGAATAACTCCTGGAAGTCTCAGGGAAACATGGGCTTCTAGGGACTGAACCCAGGTCAGTTGCACGCAAGGCAAAGACCTAACCTGCTACACTTATTGCTCTGGTCCAGCCCTCTCTCCCCTAATGTCCTCTGGTATTGTCTCCTAACAAGACTTTGAAAGATGGTAGAATAAACTTTATTTTTTTAAAAGACAGTTCTTAATTATAATCCCATGATAACTGAATATCTGTTATTTCAATGATTCTTCATGGGCTGATGATGAAACTCAGTGGGAACAAGTCGCTTCCTTGTAATAGAAACACATACTTAGGTATCTATAATTTACTTCCAAGTAAAATGATATGACTACATGAGTTGCCTAAATTAAGAGTTCAAAAAGAGATAATGTCCTGGATAGCAAAATACCTCGCTTTCAACTTTCAAAGACTTCTTTGCAGCATTAAAATGAGATGTTAATTGCTTTCTCCTCTTTTGCTCTTCTGACAACTCACTTTGAAATATTTCATTTTTTTCTTGGTTCACTTTCATTATCTGTAAAAAGTATTTATAAAAATTGATTATAAAATAATAACCATGATTCCTATGAATTCTGATAACTATTTTATGTCTACCTCAATTGTAAAGTTATCCAGAAGAGATTAAACTTGGAAAAACTCGTTCTTGGTATTATAGCTCCAATGTATATTTTAAAGTCTACTTTATCAATTATGAAATGAAGCCATTATTTGTCTTATATATGTTCAAAGTAACCAAAGTAGGAATAAAATGTGATTTTGAAATTATTTTGTGAATTCTGGATACCTGACAAATATAAGGTATTGTTGAAAACTTAGAAAATTAATCGATAATAACTGCAACAATAATAAATGGCAGCTACTATTTATTTTGTGCTTAACATATTGTAGACATCATGGTAAAATACTTCATATGTGTCATCTAATTTTATTGTCCCATGACTCCTATGAGACTATAACTACTATATTCATTTTATAGAGGACATATGTAAGTTCTTTTTTGTTGTTGTTGTTGCTTTTTGGGTCACACCCTGCGATGCTCAGGGGTTACTCCTGGCTCTGCACTCAGGAATTGCTCCTGGCAGTGCTCAGGGGACCATATGGGGTGCTGGGAATCGAACCTGGGTCAGCCGCATGCAAGGCAAACACCCTACCCGCTGTGCTATCACTCCAGGCCCCTGTAAGTTCTTATATATTGGATAATTTGCCCATGCTCATGGAGACATCACTGGGATTCAAACCAAGTCCAGCTAACAAACTCTTTTGTTTACTTACTGCTTTTTTTGGGGGGGTGTCATATCCAGTAGTGCTCGGGACCTACTCTTGGCTCTGAGCTCAGATCACTCTGGCAGTGTTTGGGGAACCATAAGTAGTGCAGAGAACTGAACCTGGGTTGGCCGTATGCAAGGCAAGCATACTACCTTCAGTAGCATACTACTGGAGCCTACTAGGCTCCAGTCCCACAAAACTCTTAATATTTTCTCTATTCAAACTTGCCAAAGTGTACTCTCTCTTGTGTACAAACACCCATTAGGAAATTATATCGAGGTCAAATGCAGTCTGTGAGAGGAGAGAGATCGCCGAGCTAATTCTCCTGCTACCAGGATGCAGAGGCCAAGCTGCAGACCCTTCTCCGCTGTAAGAGCACCTGGGTCTAGTGAACTCACTGATTACTCTGAAAGGCCAGGCAGGGAACAGCATGAGATGGAGACATCTCTACTTTCTAACTCGGAAATGCAAAATGCGATTTCCGAAGAGAGTCCTGTTCTACTATTTGCTAACACTGGGATCCTGAACCGGGCATTAAAATTTTCTAGTCTCAAGTTCTCTCTCTGAAAATTGTGGTAATGATGTCTAGCTATAAATGGGCATTCTGAAAGTGAAAATTTGTATTATCATAAAGTGTGTCGAACTTTCACATCTATTCTCTCATCAGGCAATGTGACCTTGAAGTCATTCTGAAAAAAAAATCAACATACATTCTTGGGGGGTTGGAGCGATAGCATCGCGGGTAGGGCATTTGCCTTGCACGTGGCTGACCCGGGTTCGATTCCTCCGTCCCTCTCCCAGAGCCTGGCAAGCTACCCAGAGAATCCTGTCTGGATGGCAGAACCTGGCAAGCTCTCCGTGGCGTATTTGATATGCCAAACACACTAACAACAAGTCTCACAATGAAGACATTACTGGTGCCCGCTTGAGCAAATCGATGAACAATGGGACGACAGTGCTACAGTTCTACATTCTTTGGGGCTTCTTCCTGACTGATTACTCCTGGAAGACCTTCTGCGACCACTGATCACAACCACAGAATGTAATAGAATATAAGTTGCTATTGCTCTCAATATTATTTTCTTCTTTTGCTCATGTTCAGCGTATCTTTACGAGAGTTGCCTTACCTACACTGGATGTCTGATGGAAAATTGTATCATCATATTTTTCTTTTGGGGAGAAAGTTTGGAGCACATCGAGCTGTGCTAAGGAGCTCCTCCTGCCTTTGTCCTCGGGGGTTACTTACTGCAGGCAGAACCTGAGGGTCCGTTATGTGGTACGAGGGAAGGAGACTGGGGCTGCTGCATTTAAGCCAAGCACTTTAACCCCTGTTCTCTCTTTCCAGTCCCAGAAGAGACTGAAGGTCCTTCAATGCTTAAAAACTTCAATGTTAGTTTTTTCTTTTTGTTTCTTTTTAAACAGTGCCACGAACTGAGCCCGGGTCTCATGCATGCAAGGCATTCACTTGACCACTGAGCCACGTACCCAGCCTTCATTTCTTACCTCATTCAAATCTTGTACTTCCACTGTCTCTTGACCTTTCATACCGATCTCTCTTCAATCTTCCTATATGAATGATAACTCACGTTCTAAGATAGAAATCTTAGTCGATAAATCACCAATTAAAGGATATACACATAGGTAATTGGAAGGGTAGGAAGGTTAAATGTTAGGCTACGTTTGTTAGTGTTTTCCCCCTGAAGCTGCATGCCTGAAACTTCTCCCTCCCAGCAAGTTTCTTCTCTTCTTTGGCTCTGGGTCCTTTGGAGACTTGCTTTATGGTGCTTCTGCAACCTTGCTGCTGTCTGGCAACTAAACCCATGGGGAAAATACTTGAAAAATAGATTATGGAAACTTGGTTGATCTGAATTCATCTAGCTATTCATTATCCTTTTTTACTTAATTTAATTTTTGTATGTTTTTGGGCCTCAACCAAGTGGTACTCAGGGCTTGCTTGTGGCTGTGTGCTGAGGGATCACTCCTGGCAAGGCTCAGGGGATCATATGTGGTTCCAGGGATCAAATCCAGGCCAGCCACGTGCAAGGAGAGTGCCCCACCCACTGTATTATCTCTCCTGCTCTTAATATATATATATTTTTGTTTTTGGGGTCACATCCAGCAGTGCTGAGGGCTTACTTCTGGCTCTGTGGTCAGGAATCACTCCTGGCAGGGTTCCAGGGACCATATGTGGTGCTGAGGACCGAACCCCAGCTGGCGGCATACAAGTGCCCTATCTCTCTCTCTGTATGATCTCTCTGTATTATCTCTCTCTGGCCCTCTGTATTATCTCTCTGTATTATCTCTCTCTGGCCCTATACATTTTTTTTAGGTGGCAGGAATCCAAACCAGGGCCTTACCCATACAAAGCCAAGTGCTCAGTCACTGAGCTATATTCCCAACCCAATTACTTTTTTTTTCCCAAAAGTAACTCTATTGATGGCCCTAGTAACAGATTATAAAAGGTAAAAGGTAAAGGCCCTCCCGTTGATCGTCGATTTGCTCGAGCGGGCCCAGTAACGTCTCCATTGGAGACTTTGTTGTTACTGTGTCTGGCATATCGAATACTCTCGGTAGCTTGCCGGGCTCTCCGAGAGGGGCGGAGGAATCGAACTCGGGTCAGCCATGTTGGCCACGTGTAAGGCGAACGCCCTACCCGCTGTGCTATCGGGCTGGAGCGATAGCACAGCAGTAGGGTGTTCACCTTACACGCGGCCAACATGGTCAACCCGAGTTCGATTCCTCTGCCCCCCTCGGAGAGCCCGGCAAGCTACCGAGAGTATTCGATATGCCAGACACAGTAACAACAAAGTCTCCAATGGAGACGTTACTGGGCCCGCTCGAGTAACAGATTATATACAAAGGAAATTTTTAAGTACTTATATGTAATGTGGAAACAGAAGACACTAACATTTCATTATTCATATTTAGAATCAGAATTAAGTAGAAACTAATATTTTTTAAAATTCAGAGATTAAAGTATTTATCTACGAGGCTGAAGAAAGGAAAGTACCAACTGACCAAAGGGTTTTATGTAATTAAGTTTTGGAGAACAGTATTTTGTAGATTTTCTTCTTTTTCTGTAGATTTTCTTGTACTTCTCGATTCATACTTTATGAATCTAGATGTGTATAAATTTAACCTTCAGATGTTTTAGAAAGCTAAGTCTTTAGTTTAGTAAAGCTGATCATGAATAATTTACCTTTCTCATGTTTAATAATTACCACCCTCATATCAATAAAACAGGAAAAGCAAGCCCAGACTAATGAGTTGGAAAGACTGGGGCATGCTCTTAGAGAAATGGGTGCTGAAACCCAAGTATAACTTTTCCAAATCTTCCATCCAGTGATTTGGACAAAAGATGGAGTGGGGAATCAGGTCGCTTCTTCCAGCACTGTGCAGAGCTGCAGTCCCCATGTGTGCTGATGTGTGCTTCTGCACCCCTGGGCCTATGATGCTGATGCATTTAACACCCCTCCCTCCACAGTGAGGAAGGAAATACTTTAATGAAAAAATACAAAGTCTGCCCTCCTTTCCTAACATTTTCTCAGTATAAGAATATCATGCTATGCTCTAAGTTTCTCAAGAGACTCTCGATTGAAAAGTCACCCAAATTTGTGGCATATTGAATATAGCTATACATTTAGGCAATTTAATGTACTTCCTGAGGCAAGGGGTCAAGGTGGAAGCAGAGAAACATAGAGAGGGGCAGCAAATGATGAGAGGAATGAGCTGAGGGAGGAGGAGGCCTCTAGGGAGCTAAAGGCAGCCCACCTCACCTGGTAGTCTGCAGTGAACAAGGAAGTTGGTGGACTTGCTAGTTAATCACCATTTTGGCACAGGGCAGCCACCAACGTCCTGGAGAGGAGCATAGAGTCTCCTCTTTCAACATTCCATCATCCAAAAAGCAGGGATCCTCTCATACGCTGAACCAAATGGTGCCTCCCAGGCCTGGGCACCAAGTGTGCCTGCCATGCCCATATTCTGTGGCAGTATGCTCTGACCTCTCTCCACATAGCCCAGTCCATGAGATGGTGCCCACTTCTTCCTCTTCAGAGAGGATGAAACACAGTAGGCCCATCACCCCACAACCACCAGGAGAGGTGGTTCACATACTCAGTGAGGGGCAAAAACAGAAGCCCTGTGACCTGTAATAAATCCGATTTCCAAATCCTCATGAGAAATCTCTAAAGCTGGGCAAACCCAGACCAATGGCTGACTCTGCCTTTTCCATTGGACAAGCTGCTTTAA